AATTAGTTCACCACTTCGTCAAAGGGTAGGGGACGTGCAGCAGCCCCTGTTAAGCTGAGCTAAGATTCCCCGAGCACTTCCACCCAAACACACCGTTTTAGGTAAAATATAAAACAGATGTATTAACTACAGAGAGCTGGATTTTAAGTGATCATAAGTAGCAGGCCTAGAGGTCAGAGTTGGTTATGTAGAAATAAAAATAAATTCGCCGTCTACATTCTACAGACTAAGCAAGATTTGGATCAAGCAGTTTCTCACCCTAATAGATGTTACAGGCAGCTCACAGTTCTTGATACACAGGCTGGATTCCCTCTCAGCCTGGGACCAGTCTCCTCAGTTCCAAGTCTTTGTTTTCCAGACTATCTTCCAGGTGTTGAGATGGGGACGGGGAGAGGCCAAGAGGTGATGTCACCGACCCTCATTTATACTTTCTCTCCAGCTGCTAGAAAGCTCCTTGCCCTGACGTAGGGGTCAGGCAGCGCCCACTGCATATGTGCCCTCTCTGAGGAGTGTGGATTCTTCCTGATGGGCCATGATCGCCTGTCTGGCCAGCGATTGCTGCGCCTTTGTTGCCACTGAAAGGCCGGCTGTGGGCGTCTCCCAACGTCACAACATATTTCAGTAACACACACGTAGGAAAACATCATAGCTCCCCATACAGGGCTAGCACGTACAATCCAACAGGGTATTAATGTTCAACACAGCAAGACTTTTTAAACAATACCTCACACAGCATGCATTGTATAAAACCCTTCGTAACCGTGCTGAACCCGCCTGGAGGTTCCCGGGTGCGATTCTGATGTATGGAGTGCCTGGTGGGTACGGGGAAATCAACGTCGCTCGACAGCGGATGAAAACTGAATGCTTTGCATTGCGTAGGGTGTGTCCGTAGCAGGGCATTGGCTTATCCTGCGGTGGGGATTGGCAGCTGTGGGGCAGGAGAGGAGCCTGGTCTGTGGGTTTAAAGAAGGGGAAGTGAAAGGCGAGTTAGATGGTGTGGGGCACGTGAGGGGAAGGCACTGAAAGGGCTGTGAAATGTAGCTGCCAGGCGGAGTTTCACAGCTTCTCAACCTTTTTGCTACCAGGCAGCGGCTTGCTGCCTTCCTAGACTGTCAGGGAGATCTCAGGGACTGGTCATTGAGAAAGACTGGGCTACCTGGCTGTAGGAGGGGGCAGGCAGCCCCTGGTAAATACATGGCACAGGTGGTGGTGGGGGGTTGTGTTATGGGTGAAGGGGGCATGGCACAAAAAGGGAGCGTGAAGGTGGCACACGGGCGTGGACCCAAGTGCTGTATTTCCTGGTCTGCAGAGGCTGGTTGATCTTGGTGTTCGGGAAGGGCCCAAGTTCCGCCCCTGGGCAGCCTTAGCTCTGTGTCAGA